GTTAGTAATCCGAATGTCTTTCTTGAACTGCCAGTGAAGATTTCTCCGCGAAGGGTCATAAAACAATTAAGATTGGTCCAAGAGAAATGATGAATTAATTATCGGTATCTTATCTTTTCATGTTTTAATGACCCCTGTGTGTTCTTAGATCTATTTCCATGTTTGTGTGTTTATGTCAGCATGCGTGTATATATGCGTATGTATATTGCCCTTCCATACATACGCTGTCACACTACGAGGAATTAGTAAACGCATTTGTACACATACACACACACACACACACACATATATATATACACACACACCGTCCCACTACAAGGAATCAATACATACACATATACACATACATACACATACGTACACACACATACTTCCCAAGTTAGATGGAACCAGTACACATATACACATTCACATATATATATATACACACATATATATATATATATATATATGTGTGTGTGTGTGTCTGTGTGTGTGTGTAAAACTTTCAGATAGAGTTGATCTGAAAAATCAATATGAAAAAAGACGAAAGGCAAGATTATCTTAACCGACGCGTTTCGTCCTCTGTCAGACGTTATCAACGCAAATAGTGACCCGCAGAAGACGGAACGAAAGGTTTCATCAAAATGTATTGGGATTGGTGCTATACAGCAAAAGCTACAACACATATCAATTCAGCGTTTAATCTCCTTCGAAGTAGTCTTATTCTGAACCCACTCACATTACCCAGTGTCGTTTATATTGTTGGAAGCATTCTTGGAACTTCTTTTTTTTTTTAAATAACAATCAGCAGCATCGTTGCATTCTTTTGGATGTCCACGACATCCTGAATGTTTTTTTCCTTTCAAGTGGGATTTGATTTTTAGAAAGCGGAAAAGTCACAAGATTCGAGATCTGGGAAATATGCTGATTGTCTCTCTTGGGGTGAATATTGTCCTTGGCTTAAAACTGCTGCACAAGCCATGATCCCTGATGGAACCTCCATAGTGTGGTGCAAGAAACTGCTATGAACATCACCGAGACCCGGTTACAGAGATATGATCTATAAGAATTTTATGAGACTTCACAATACATACCGACAGAACAATGAAAGCTAATCGCCCAGATATCGTGATCAATGACAGCAAGAACAGAATCTGCTTTCTAATTGACATGAGAGTCTCTGCAGATTGTAATGTATGTTCAATCTTCAAAAAACAATCAAAATAAAAGGATCTTGACATGGAAATGTGAAAAACGTGGTACATAAAGATATCTGTAATTCCAGTTGGACTTGGAGCCCTCGGATTGATTGGAATAGGGTCCGATAGACTCATTTGAAGAATTCCTTGTAGCCCACGATTTAAAGGAATATAAAAGATTGTACTCACAAGTACAGTTCACATATTACGTAGCGAAAGTGAAAATATATATAAACATATATAAAGACACACAGAAAACTCATCATTCACACACACACATACATACATACATACATACATACATACATACATATATATATATATAGAGAGAGAGATAGATAATATTAGTGGTTAATATATATATATATTTATTTATTTATAAATTCCCAAGAGGATAGAATCCAGGTAAAACTCAATGTCCAGAACAGAGTAAGAATATAATTTGTAGTTTTGATGAATTGAATCGTGATTACGATTCCAATGTAATAATTTATAACCATGGAATATTAGTGTTTGAGCCTTTTAATTGTTAAAACTGACTCACAAATGGCGCTCAGTGTTTATTTTCATTAAACAGAGCAAATCATTTCTTACAATTGGAATTAAGATGCCATAATTTATTTGAAAATTCCTGCGAATTTTAACATTCAAATTCGTAGGTGAAAATGGTCATTAACTAATGGTATCTTAATTCCAATTGTGATATATATATATATATATATATATATATATATATATATATATATATATATAAAAAACGAATAGGCACGGAGTATAGATGAAAACAAATATGAAGAGAATTGAAAGCTTTGCTGCTAAGAGAATTTGCTCACTGTGTCGTGCCAGACAATTTTTCTAATAAAAATTACTCTTACATATTTTTAATTCTACCATGCGCTTCTGCATAAAATATTTTTGTCATATTTGTTCTGGGGATTCTGCTGTATATCTTAAGATTCTAGAAAATATCCAAGGTGTCTAAAATCTTACTGGTTCGAGACTAGAATGACTTAATGTAAAATGTCAGTCATCTTATTATTTTGTTGTTTTTGTTTTTAAAAAATGATCAGTGGAAAATTTCATGAAGCCATTTTCGAACTTAGGTCTCTGGTTGGGACCCGGAAGGAAATGTGTTTACAACAGATATCAGAGGAAATAATAATAATCTTATGTGAACATGATACCTAGCCAAATGGGAGAAATATATGTTTCACAGATTTTTTTAGAATGGGACAGTGTGTCTCTCTTTAAATTTTCTATTGATATACCTGACATGATTCCCTGTGTTTGCACACAGAACCTCTCGCCTCAGTTGGAAGCTTACAGTTCCACTGAATCAAAAGGTAAACCCAATATATTGTAATTGCATTCGTTGTCGAGTCTCTTTACTCATTCAGTAGCCATGGAGAGATTTCTTGTAACAGTTTTATAGACTTGGTCTGGACAATAAACGTCGTAAATCGGATTATTATATATTTCTTTTTTTAACGAAGCTTATCTGCCAGACCGTTTTACGCCTAGAGATAAATAGTAGTTGCTTGTGGTGATGATGGCATTTTCTTTTGTCTGTTTAGCGTGGTATGTGTGTTTGGAGCCATAGTGACAGGTATTGAGCAAGCACATAATGGAATGGATTCCTTTCTAATAAAAAAGCGAGAGAGAGAAAAAGAAGATTTATATGACTCTCAAACGATTATTATGAGGAGAAATCAGATAGCTTATTATTTGATGTGATCAAGCATGTACTAGGCAAAGTGTAAAAAAGTTTTATAGCCAGTGGGATTTTGTTGACGATCATAAACTTGTTCAAATGGGCGTCTATAATAGCGGTCAGATTAATAAGCCAATCTCGCGTCGAGTGATATATATATATATATATATATATATATATATATATATATATATATATATATATTGTACACTGAGTGCTGCCTTTAATAAAATAGTGCTCGATGTATAATAACAGAGCTATAATTTATATTAATAATAACTATAGATTTTTCCTCACCAATTGCGCGCCTCTGAGATTTATGCTCAATGTAATCATAAGATGCTGATTATGAAACTGAGAGTTGTGCTACCGGCGTGCAAAAATGTATATAGATTTTTAATAATATATATATATATATATATTATATATATATATATATATATATATATATATATATATATTATTAAATAAATAAACAGATAATGAAGTCTATTATGTCTGATCATGAGTCGTTTTAATGTTCGAATGTTTGCTTTAATTTCTGGTGAAAATAAAACAAAAATTGTCCAACATTTCGATACATTTTATTAAGTTGGTCCCAAAGTTTTTTCACATGAGCCATCCTCAGAGTGGTTATGCAGACTGAGGATGGCTCATGTGGAGGAAACAAGAAAGGAAATACTTCTACATTCTCATTCGATTTCCTATATATATATATATATATATATATATATATATATATATATATATATATATATATATGTTAATAAATGGACAAGGTCCGACAATTTATTTATTAAAGACACTTTTATGTTTAACGTTTGTTATGTTTTTCTATGAAAATTTCTCGGACATTCAGGCCGGTAAATGTTATTTAATACTGTTTATCATAAACAGAGCATTTGTTTAAATACTTTGTATCTATAAATAACAACGTTAAACATGAAAGTGTCTTTAATAAATATATATATATATATATATACGGTGTGCAGCAAACGTAACTCCCATTTTATTTATTAACATTTAAGAAAAATAAACTAATTAATTAATTCCGATACTCTCAGAAAAAAATAGACAATTTAAATTCAGCTTATGTCTGGGACGTATAAGAACTGTTAGAATCAATAAAACACAATTGGATAAAATCAATAATGGATAACTGGTCTTTATTAAACATTCCCAGATAAAAAAATGAGGTGCTATTTTCATTTTAAAGGAATACGCACTTCTTCGTTGAGATTTTCTCAAAAAGCTCATGTCCGAAATGTAAATAAAGAAATTTATAAAGAATTAATTGATATATATTTAATTCGACATTTTTATTGCTTAAAACTTGATTTCGCATAAATACCCGTGTTTGAAACAGACGCCACATCTTCAAATACTGTTTATTATGTCTACCAGCCTGCGCGCTCGAGAAAACTTAAGCAAAATATGCACGCTGGCAGGGTTCAAACTTGCGTCTTCCTTTGATCGCTCGGCCATAGAGAGCGTTTTTGATGACCTTTTTTTCATTTTCTTCGGTAGGTAAGCGTTCATTATTTTAAATACTTTCAAAAGAGCTGTTTTAATATATGTAAAAATAACGTTTTGTTATTATCCTGGTACTATCCGCGTGTTTCACGCTGCGCGAATATTCAAACTGGATGTTTCTTCATTTGGGACACCCCCAATCTCAAGAGTTCTTTTACGTGTTTTTTCAGCGCGTTGGAAGTTTGAAATAATTTCCTTTTGTTGATTAAGCTATTCTTAATTTCACCGTGATTTGAACATAGGCGCAAGATATTAGAATTCTCTAGTTTGTCTACAAATAACCATCTGTTTTTTTCTTTTTTTTTTTTAGTATTCAACTGTTTATTCATCATGTCTTGTGCAAGGGTTTGACAAAACTAGGCCAGTTAGCTCACGCACCACACAGGCCCTGACATCGATGCTTCTTGCGTTTACCAAGTTTAAAATTGCGTTTGAAATAGGCAAGGATCTTCATTACATGGATTTTCTCTTGATAAAAAATAAATTATCGTTTTGATCGCATTTATTTCATTAAAATTTAATCAAACACAAATAAATTCTTTCGAAGTGTTACTCTTCGACTTTTATATTTCTTCATGTCATTTTTCTTCTATTTTATTGTGTTTTTCTCAATTTTCTTATTTTTCTCGATTTTATTTTTCAATTTCCTTTTTTTTTTTCTTTCTTCCTCTTTTTATCCTTTTACTCTATTTTCATCTTCTGCTCACTGTCTTCTTCTCTTCTATTTTGTCTTCATTCATTTTGTCTTCATCACTATTTTCTTTTTTCCTGTTTCTTCTCCCTTTTTATTTTCTTCTCAAATAAATTCTTCTACTCTTTATCTGTCATCTTCTTTCGTATTTTCTTCTTTGTTTTTTTCTATTTTCTTCTTTCCTATTATCTTCTTCTTGTCGGCTGTTTCTTCTTCACTAATTATCTCTTCTTTTCTACGTTCATTTTTGGGTCTATTTTTTTCTTCTTTTCTTCTCAATCACCCCCTCTTTCTCTTTTATTTTCTTCTTCTTATATATTTTCGTATTCCTTTATATTTTTCTTCCTCTTTTTCATCTTTCTATTATCCTTCTTCTTCTTCTTCTTCTTCTTCTTCTTCTTCTTCCTTATTTTCATGTATTTTTAAAAGAATTTTCCTTTATATTTTCGCCTGCTTTTCAATTTTCTTATCTTCTATTTTATTTTCCTCCATTTTTTCTTCCTCGTTACTTTCTTATTTTTCCTATTTCTTTTTCTTTCTCTATTTTCTTCATATTCTTTTTCTTCGCTTCTTTTTCCCATATACTTCTTTTTATCACTGACGGCACCATAAGAGTGACCCTACGCCAGAAGATTCGAGCGCTTCCACCTTGTTATTAAAAATTACGTCACTGATATTTTTCAGTTAGCTGTACGTCACACTTTGCTCCGATCTGAGCACATTTCTTGGAAATTCAGAAATATCCACACGTTTCAAAGACTGAACGGTGTTTCATCCTTGGATATGTTATGGCAAAGAATGGCGCATCTATTATTGCCAGATTCGGATTGTAAACATGTTTTGTGTCTGATGCGATGTAGGACATCCTCGAAGGACGTTCGAAGTCAACGCAATTAGGAAGTGAAGTGTGATATCATCATAAAGCTTTTCGTCAATTCCGTCACTTTCCGAGATCACAGAGATCTACTGTAATCAAATTTTTTCACACGTGTCTTTGCGTTCATATACATTTATGCGACAACAGATCCAATACTTAAGCGACAACAGATCCAACATCATTCAAGATTCGAATGAAGCTGACTGTGTACTACTACACACACTCAGATTTTTTTATCAGCCATTAATTACCTCTGTCCACAACAAATTCTTACTCAAATTTTCTATGACGTTGGACATAATGAACCAGTTTTCCCATACTGACCAATTAATTGTTGTCCTTCTGATATTTGCTATATCAGAGCCAAGTTTTACTTTTTTGACTGTCTTCAGGTATATAAGATAAAATTCCAACCTGTATCTATTGCAACCATAACAATGTTAGATATTTAGAGGATACAGTTATTATACGAGACAGAAAAGAAAATAAGGCAATTCCTACAGAAAGCAATAAAGAGAAATAAGAAGAAAGGACATCAATTGTAAAAAGACAGAATGTAACGTTTTACAAATTAGAAACACAAGTTGGAAAATTTAAATATCTCGGAGCAATAGACGGAAATTGCGATACCGAAATCCGGAGAGATATTCGTCTTTCGCATGTGCCCTGTCTCCTCAGAATGTAGGCGATCATGGTTCTCCACAATTTCCTCTCCTTTGTAGCTCTTAATAAATTTTTGTTATTTCTCATGTTCCGCATCCATTTACGATCTCACTAATTATGTCATGCGTTGTTTTCCTTTTGTCCCTCTTGCCTTCAATCTGTCCTGTAAGTATCAGATTTTCCAAGCCATCTTTCCTCATTATATTTTCTAGGAGTTTCAGCTGTCTTCCTGATGTTTACTATAACTTTCCATTGTGTCTCAATTTTCTCTAGAACTTCGTCGGTATCTCTCTATTTCTGAGATTTACATTATTCGGGCTAGTGTCCTCATCTTTGTCGCCATATTTATTACAACGTTTCGGCCGTTGTCCGCTCCGGTCTTCTTCAGGTGGTTGGAATGTCGAACTGAACCCTTTATTTCGATCACTGGGGTAGACTGTTCTAGTTCCACGTGCCATATCTAATGGATGTCAGTTATCAGTTATCTCCTGTTAATTCCCCTGTCCAAGTTCTCCACCGCCTTAACCAGGTATTGAACTCACACTGTTTGGGTCCTGCCACTGGATCTAACTAACGCCTTTATCCACTGTGCCATGTGTCCTTAAGGCAGTGGAGAACATTTAACGTACAACAGCCGAAACGTTGTAATAAATATGTCGACAAACATGAGGACAATAGTCCGAATAATGTAAATAATGTACATAATACCTCATCTCAGAAATATAGACAGGTACTGAAGTAAAATGTTTTGAACTTGAGATAATCATTTCTAATCCGATGATTAGATATCCACAAAATATGAATCTAACTAATAGTGGATAAATGTGTTAGTTAGATCCAGTGACAGGACCCAAAGAGTGTGAGTTCAATACCTGCTTAAGGCGGTGAAGAACATGGAGAAGCGAATTAACAGAAGATATCTGTCTACTCCAGTGAGTCGTCCGAATAATGTAAATAGTGAACTTCGTCGGTGTTTACATATTTGGTCAATGGTAACCTCAGTATCCTTCTGTTGAACCACTTTTCTGTTGCTTCAAGTTTCCTCTTCATATTTGAGATATTCTATGGGGACATATATTGAAGAACATTTCTGTACACTTCTTTGTTTTAAACGGAATTGTCCTGCTTCTTAGTAAACTGCTTAGTTTTTGGTAATCATCTCAGTGCATCTTCGGATTTCAGTACCACATTTTCAATCCTTTGTTAAAACTAGTCCCGGATATTTAAATTTTTACTTTTTTAATTTTGATATCGCCGATTTGTAATTTGCATGTTGGGCTCATCCTTTTGGTAACTGCCATTTATTCTGTCTTCTTGAAGTTGATGTTTCAAAAAGCTAATCGAAGTATTAAGAAATAGAAAAAAACTAGTTTGAATATGATAAAAGAGTATGTTATGCAATATCAGTCCTCCATTATCACAAAGAATGTTGAACAAGAGACTTCAGCATAAAGTTAGTTCAACAGAAGAATAAGGTGAATTCCATGAACTAAACATATGAGGAACGACTAAATTCTAGTGGAATTAAAAAAATAATGATCACGTACACTTAACATCAGAAAGAGACAGTTGGAATATATAGCGCACATAATGAGGAATGAAGGCTAAGAAAATTTGACACACACAGGACATATTGAAGGCAAGAAGGACAGATGATAACAGCACGTAATATACCTTTATTATCGCCCTTCTTGGGATGGCATTCAACAACATCAATTGATAAGACACCGGAAATGTTGAAAGAAAATGGCTATTTTTGTAGTGATTTTATAACATATTTATGTTATAATTTTTGAATAAATAATTATATTTGCTCTATTATGTATTGAGCACTTTTTAAGAATAGTATATGTTGGTTATTGGAATTTATTCCGTATACACCAATCCTATACTTGGGTATATATATATATATATATATATATATATATATATATATATATATATATATATATATATATATAAATATACATACATATATGCAAAATATATAGATATATATACATAGGTACATACACATATATGTATATTTTTTGAATAAAAAATTCCGAGAGGATAGAATCCAGGTATATATATATATATATATATATATATATATATATATATATATATATATGTGTGTGTGTGTGTGTATTAACCATTAATATTATCTATCTATCTCTCTCTCTCTCACTCTCTCGATATATATATATATATATATTAAGAGCTACAAAAGAGAGGGCGCTATGATCTCCTATTCCAGCAGATCACATCGTCATATAGAAGAGGAACAAAAAAATCTTTAATAATATTTTGGAAAAATAGATCAAGTGGATTATTTTGGGCAGTGTGGTTTTTATTTCCATTGCGAAAATTCGAAAAAAAATAAACTTTTTCAATCTGAATTGAAGATTTCTTTTTTTTTTTTTTTACTTTTCTGTAGATATTTCAAAATAATGGTCTCGTTATATTCTGCCCACAGGAAGCAAAATTTTAGAGGTGCATAAAAAATTATAAACCTTTCTTCATATTATCTACGGCATTGAAATTGTAGATTGCGTCATGGATTTGGGAAGAACTATGCGTATAGAAAATAATTTTTTAATGAGATTCGAAATTAAAAAAAAAATATGAGAAAAAGTGCATTCATCTGTTTCCTTTTAGAGATTCAAATTATTACGTGCATATATATATATATATATATATAGATAGATAGATAGATAGATAGATAGATAGATAGATAGATAGATAGATAGAGAGAGAGAGAGACATATAGAATGAGAAAGAGAGAAAGAATGAGAGAGAGAGAGAGAGAGAGAGGGGGGAGATTATTTATTTTGACCTGGATTAAAAGTGAACAATATTAGAGATCTAATACGTGAATAACCAATATGTTTTATAATCTTATAAATCCCTTATTACAAAGATTCTTTACGGATAGAATGCTAGTTTTTGCTATTTATATTCCAATGTAAAAGACAATTTATTCTCGGACGTAGTTTCAATCATTTCAAATGCAATTTGGATTCTTTCCATGGCGTTTGCTCATCTTTTTTTGTCTTTTTCGAGATCATTTCTGAATTCTCTTATATTCAATCTCAGTTTACGAAACAAGTTCTTATGACTAAAGTCCCTGTCTGATTTTATAAAAATCATGTCATCCCAAGAACGGCGATAAGGACACTCAGCGGCAAATCGTTATTGAGGGTGAAAAAAATATGAAAGAACATTCAGGGCAAAGAGGACAAAAAAAGATGGATTTAAAGAGACAGGTGACGACTGAAAGAGACAGAAAGTGACGATTGAAGGAGACAGAAGGTGGAGACTGAAGAGAGAAAGTGATGATTGAAGGAGACAGAAGGTGGTGACTGAAGGAGACAGAAAGTGACGATTGAAGAAGACAGTGACTACTGACAGAGAAAGAAGAGATTGAAGAAGACAGAAAGTGACGATTGAAAGAGACAGGCGACGACTGAAGGAGACTGAAAGTGACGATTGAACGGAACAGAAAGTGACGATTGAAGAAGACAGACGGTGACGACTGAAGGAGACAGAAGGTGACGATAGAGTGAGACAGAAGAAGACTGAAGGAGGCAGAAGTTAACGATTGAAGTTATATTTCTAAAGATCGTAGCTCTTTATTTTAATAATTTCAACCCAATTTAGGCAATAAAGCCACTAAGACGTAAAGGATAACTGAGTAGGAGAACATATGAAAAATAGAAACTATTAATGGAAGAATACAATAAAAGAACTAAAATTAAGATGACACAAGATAACGATTGACATAAAATTATTACTATCCGAATATCATAGGCGACATTTTATTCTTATTAAACGATTTTTCAACCTAATTTTCGCGACCTTTTTTTAAAGCTACCAAATTTTTTTAGCTAGAGGTGTCATTATTAATTGGTAACTAGTACTTGTTTTTAATATTCTAACTATAGTTATGTTTCATTGATAGTTCGTAAACCGACATTGAACTCCCAATCATCAGTACGCTGTGCGTGGAAAATAAGGGACAAGTGATGGGAAAACATAAAATTTCCTCTTTTGAACTCGAGAAACGTAATGAAACTTCA